TGGGGCAGGGGAGGGGCCCGATTAGGCTTAGCGCCTTTGTCTCCAATCAAGCACCAATTACCTTTCAATAGTATTTAATTTCCCACACATTAGACATCTCTATCTTCTAAAGACCCAAGAAATGCCCTTAAACAGCATAAAAAGAGTCCAGAGAAAGAAAAATAAAGAATGAGTGACAGTCCAACTTTCCCTTATCTAGTATATAAGATATCATAAAATACAACTAATTTACAGAGGCAGAAACTGGCTCAGTTCACTCTTCTGAAGGTGTTTCATACCATACCCTCCTTCCAAATAACCAAATAAAACCAAGACACGACAAGGAATTGTAAAATGGTCTTCATAAGTTCTTTGTAACTGTATATTAACTCTAAATAAAAAAAAAAATTTTTTTTAAAGAAAACTACCCCACAGTCAACTGCATCACTTTCACTTATATAAAAACCAAATTTTTAGGGCAGGGATTTTTCTTAAAAGTCAGTGGAGGCCTTAGTGGTAATATAACTCTTACCATTTTGGAAAACCAAGGAATTTCCCCTTCATGTCTGAACCTAATGAGAGAGGTGAGCTCGTCACCCTTAAAGAATTTATTAGGTGCCCAATTACGGAGTTTCATCCCTCCAAACAGTATCTCTAGTAACCTTCTCACCCTATCTCCTCAAATCTCAACCAATTCTTAAGCTAGGTTTTCTTTTTATGCTGCTGCTAACGCCAGTGACCTAAAGGCTCCAACCTCCTGTGTCCCATAGAAACCCTCAGCACAAATTCCACCCCAAGAAGAGGCCGTGTGTATCCACTAGCAGGTCTGAAAGGGCCTGGAAAAGAAGAGAGCCGGTCATGGAGAGCTCAGGTGACCCCAGAGCTCCACCTGGTGCTCCTCAGGGTGAGGGTCCCCAAGAATGCCCCACAGCCGACCTACGGCAGGACAGGTAGGGTCCTGCGTAGGAGGGTGGGTGGCTGCTCCTCTGCCCTCACTTTTGGTTAGATGCTGGGTGCTCACAGCAGGAAGGAGCACAAATCCGGGCCTCATCTCTACCTGGGTCATCCCTCCCCCACCACCCCACCCCCACCAGTCCTTTAGAGATGCCCAGGGACTAGGTACAAACTTTCTACAGCCAGCCCAAGGGCCTTTCCCCGGGAAGGCCTGGCCCTGCAGCTTAGGACAAAGGTGAAAGAAAGGGGTGAGAGCAAGGAGGTCAAATACACCTCTTGGCCCCCTCTCGTCTTCTCCGACTTGCCTCTGTTGCAGGACAGATCCTGGAAAAAAGGGCTCTGAGGCCAGAAGGAGCCAAAACCCAGGGCCTTTTCTCTTCCCCTCAGATGGGCCATGGGCCCTCCAGAGAACACCTGACTGTGGGGTCTCCTTTCCCCCAGACGGGATGTCCCTTCTTTTTCATTGCTCCTCAGGTAGCTCTGCCCTGGAGCAGTTTCAGAGTTTAAAAGAGACTATCTTGGCAGGTTGGTCATGAGCAGCCAAGGACCAGTTTTCTGCATATCTATATATAACAACGTGAAGAAACCACCAAGAAGTAGGAGAACCTAGAATAGAGAAGAAACGGTCATAAATACTGGTTGGGCATCTTAAATTGACTGGCGAGTTCCTGTTAAGGAGGAATAGTTCAGAATTTGGGGTACAAATCTTGCTGCTTCTATGGCAGTTCAACCAACTAAATACAGACAAGAACTCCATCTTTCTCTGTGTGTGTCTGTCTCACTGGGAAAATTAATTTTTTCTTTGGCAGATGGTTGAGTCAAAAGACAGAAGGATTCATAAAATTCACATGAACATCCTGTAAACATTTAAACACATAAAGATTAAATAAAGCAACCATGACCTTGATTAAAGTTAAAATCTCTTTTTTTTTGTTTACAACCCTTAGCCCTGCAAGTTGGAGGCTCATCCTCACACCCTCCTTGACAGACTCCATTCTCACTAGGCATGGCATATGCACATGCAAGGATGTTTGATTAATTTGCTTTAAAATGGGAAATAAAAGCATCAGAAGAAAGGAATGATTCGGAGCACCTACACACAGAAATCTCACTAGTTCTCTTATTAAATTAATGGACTCTACAGGGAAAGCCAAAATAAAACAGTGATATAAAACATATTCAGATAGTCCCTGCTGTGTTTCAGCCCCTTCCCCCTTTCCAACTAATTGTTTTATCCCCTCCAGACACGCCAACCCAAGACTAAAGCTTTTGCTCTGACAGAAAATTCTAACCTAAAGAGGCTGGATGACTTACTGAGGCTTACGAACAGGCTGATGGGACTTGGGTCATGGCCTCTGCTCCCAGACTGTATAGCCCAACATCAAAGCTGCGACCCCCGCCCCCACATGCCAATCATCTTGTGAGATTAGCACTACCCTCCCACAGTGAAATTTTATGGACCAAATCGGCCTGCCACCAGGCTCCCCAGCATAATCTCACCAGCAGCTTAAAGCCACGTTTCTCTAAGGTAAGAACCCTGTGGGATTCTGGAGTTGGAGAGGTGATATGTAGCTCTAAACATCTGGAGGTGGAGGAATACACGAATCGGCTCCCTGCGCTCTTGTTAGACTGTTCAATAAGCTGCAGCTTTGAAGATTTTCCCAGTAGTGTTTGTTACCTGGTGTAAATTTGCCCTTTCTCACAATGCTTTTTATTGCTCTTGGCTAAGAATACTGGACTGAGACAAGAGACTTGACTTGCAGGCAGGGCAGGCAGGCTGCTTTGCAGGAGAACTTGAACTTGATGTACATAAAACTGACAGTTCCTTGAAGGCCTTGTCAACCATCCATCCAGTAAACACCGCCACTACCCAGAGTAAAAACAGACCAAAACCCACAAGCACATATCAAGGCTCTCTGCACCTGGCTTGAAGCAATTACTGACATTATCACTACACAATGAATCTCTTTTTGAAGTTGTTTTCCTGATATTTAGTAGTTTGAATACTAATCTCCTTAACAAAACTGTCCCCATGCTTTCCCCGCTCCCCTGCCCCCCTTAATCTCTTTCTCTCAAGGGAGGAGGGCGGGTGCTGGATACCAGTCAGTCTCCTTTGCAGCACCTGGGTTTGCATTGATTCCGTCTCTTGTCATTCATGTTACCAACAGGAATTAGCATAAGGCATTAAGGGGAAACTGGAGAAGAGAAAGGCCATTTTGATGGAAATAAGGGGCAAAGGAATAATCTGCCATCAACGAAAATGCTTATTTGTGTATGGTTTCCCAAGCAAAGCTTAGAAAAAGCCTATGTTGATTTTAGTGTACACAAAGAAACCTTAATCCTTTCAAGGCAACTAAATCACCCCCAGAAAAGCAGCTCAGAAGAAAGGCACCCTGTCCAGGGGGATAACTATTCACAACCAAATAGATGCCACAAATCACACTCTGTAAGTAAACAAAAATAAGAATGTGGGAAACGTTTGATTGGAAAGGGAAAGAAGTGGGGGCAACAGCAGGAGGGGAGAGACAGAAGGGCAACTCCTCATCAATCCTCTGCAAGCTCGCCGACAGCCTCTCAGCCTGGGGAGGGTGGCAGGGGCCTACACTCGGGCCCCAGGGCCAGCTCTCTTTAGGGCTGATCCCAAGAAGGGGAAACGCATTCCAAAGCTACAGAGTCACATGGGGTTGGAGGTCTTGGGGGTGGGACTGTGATTGTCATGGAAACACAGAAGCCCTCCCTTTGGTGACCTGTCCTACCTCAGTGTCTTCTTCCTCCTCCCCACTTTCCTCATAAAGACAGACCAGTGTCCACCAGTCCTCTTCCCTTATCAAAATGAGCAAAAAACAATGACGTATTTTTACATATGAGCACTGTATGCTCTGAACTGCATGTATCTTCTTTTATTGGGCTTTTAGTATTACGGATAACAAATTTATACAAACTTTCAGTCCATCAAAAAATATGATGAAATATAAAACCGGAATCCTCTATTATGCAATAAAAGATAAAATTCAATGTGACAATAATTCTGGGAGTAACAGCAATCACATAAGCATATACACCACAAGGGAACTCTAAACATAATGCAGTATTTAAAACTGCAGTTGGTTCAAATTCTAAAATAATCTGGAAGCTCAAAATAACTGCGCTTGGAAACGTATCTCACCAACAAGCTAGCAGACATACTAGCCAGGGCAACTACAGCATGCTGAAGTGGGTTCAAGTTTCCCTTTATGAAGGCCCAGCTCTTTTCAAGTGCTGCTACCAAGTTACCTTCCACGTAACACAGCACAGATGCCAAAGGAGCACACTTTCTTTACTTAGCACTTACCCTGTAAACAACTACATCGGGTTCTACAGTAGAGGAGGAGATCAACTAGTTTACCTAACTTAAACTTTTCAAATTGTACACCTTTGCAAAGACAGTGATTAGAGACTCCCTTGAATTACATGATTTCCAGCAATGCTGCTACAAATGAAACTGCCCCAAAATCTTGGCAATGATTTAAGATAACTTTTCCCCTAATGTGCTGCTGCATCATTAGCCTCTTGTACTCTATAGTGCAGTTTGGAAGAAATTAATGGGATAGTGCATATTTAAATTTTGCCCTCTTGCTTGTTTATTAAGTTTATGAAAAGCCCACAGCAGAGTAAGGCTTGGTTTACAACCATTATACTGTGAATATGAAACATCCACTGGTTATTAGAGTCTGCAGCACAAATCAGCTATTTATAGTTCTCCGACTGCTGAGGAGCTGATAAGTAACAACAGAATTAAGGCATTTTGAGAACTATTATTCTCTATTATCGATTCCTACATTAAAGTCATATAGACAGTTAGTGATTTCTTAGTCAAATCAATTTAAATAAAGGGTCTATGTATTCTTTTAAAATAAGCTTTTTTTCCCCCAACGGATTACACAAGCATACAGGTTTTCTCAAGCAAAAACGCAATATATGAACAGGACTTCCAGAATGGAAACAGTCCATTGTTTTTTATTCTTCCTAGGCAATGATAATGAAACAAATACAAAAGTAAGCCATTGCTCAGATTTAAGAAGCCTTACCTTTGTTTACAATAACAGTATTGAAGAGTTTTTCAGAGCTGGCATCTGATGCCTGAAAAATAGAAGGAGAAAAAGTGTTATTGCCATAAATGTTGTTGTTACCATCATAATTACTAGTATTTTAAGTCAATTTACTGCATTTTAGAAAAGCCTAATGGGGAAAGCAGCTATTTTCCCCAACTGTCCACAAGGTGGTGCTCGTTGATTGCATGAGTCAGAACTGCAGTGCAGCGATTTGCTGGGGGGGAGTCAGATTTTAAAAACGTGTTCTTATTAGACAGATTATCTGTGCAAAATATATTTCTGAGATGATACACAAAGCAATTCAGCTCATTCACATAATGATTTTGCACTTTCGTTGAAGGGTCATTATTTTGGAAATGGTACTCTTTCATGATATTTGCAGACTTGGCTATTTTTCAATTTTGTTTCACAAACCAGAACTGCCTATTATTTAACGCTAAGCTTTTTCTCACTAAAAAGCGTCAATCAACACTCCCAGAAATTAATTTTTAAAGATTCATCTGATGACCCCAAGATTCCTGTCTCTTATAGTAACCAGGACACCCTTGGTATTGAAATGGAAGGAAGCCAATCTGCCCCCAGACCTGACACTATACATGCCATCAGCATTATTTCCTTTCCATTCTCTAGAAATCATGAGTCTGCTAATTATTACACTGGCTTGGGAAAAGTGAAATAAGCTTGTTAAAATAGCGAGAGAAAAGCCAATTTAAATTATATACTAATGTTCTAAAAAATAAACATGAAGTTGGTTTGGAAGAAAATGTAGTATTTCAGAAGAACTAATGTCTAGAACTTGAAAAAATTTTAAGTCAAATTAAAAATCAAGCGTTCCCCTTTACATAATTTGAAGGTGGTTTCTGCATTTGAAGTTATAATGTCTACATTATATTTATGCTGTTTTGGCTATGCAAAAACATACGATTTATGTAAGAAATCACTTGTCTTTCACACTTCATACATAGAGATGCATGTTTTGAAAAAGCAAAGCATAGAATGTTGAGAAATACAAAAGCAAGAAATCTAAGAAATAAGCGGAAGGAGAAACCCGAAGTACAATACATTTTGACTGTGGAGCTGGGTTTTGAGGACAAAGATGATACTCAATTAAGTCTTTCCATGTTATGTCGGCAAAGATGAGATATTCCTGTGTTTATCTGGGGAACACATTCTAGTGCTCAATGCAAGTGATAGAGAAAGACAAGATATTTTCATTATGACTACTTTTCCTTTTAATTCTAATCTTCCTAAGATTAATTGATAAAAAAAAATGAATGTACCTGCAAAATAAGTGTTGAACTGCGTGCATTTATACTTAAGTGTAAAATCAATTCTAGATAGTCTTCTTTTTATTTTTACATGAATAAAAAATATCCCGAGGGTCTTCTTGACATCTCAGGCATAATTATATAAAATTGTGTACTATAAGTAGCTTTTCATTTAAAAAAAAAATTGCCAAAAAAGTGTTGCATAGAGGGGGAAACAAGATATCCATGAAACAGATCAATACATGTATATTGAGTTATAGAAGCAAAAATTAAGTGAAGTGTTGTTACACTGTAATATGAAGTGAGATTTCTAGGAATGTGAGTTCGCCAGCTAAAAACTTGAGAGATTTCACCATTCTTCAATGAAACAGTTTGTTCAGTTCTAATTGGAATGGCTATGGTAAATTCATGGCTCAAAAAATAAACTCCAGCTGATATTTTTAAAAGAAAAGAAAAAAAATCTGTTAATCATTTTACCAAACTAAAGTAACCCTTGTAGATTTGGGGCTCACCTATTAAAATGTATCTAATTGGCCCAAAGAAATTACCAGACACGCAAAAAGCATGGATAAGGAAAGAAAACGGTTTCTGATTGAGTTTTTATTTGTACTTGGGTGTGTGCGTTTGTATGAGAAAGAGATAGAGAGACAGAGAGAGATAGAAGGGCAGGGGGAAGGGGGAGATATCAAACAGAACAGATGCTGTAGGGGAGCAGCCCTTTTGGTCGTCTTTCACACCCCTCCTTGGGGCAGCCTCCTTCGTCGCACACTGGCCTACACACCGCGTTCTCACGCAGTTAAACAATCCTTCTGTCTGAGGCAAACTTAGAGGACGTTATTATTATGATGCCAACAGTCGGTTATCAAAGAAATAAGTATGACAGGATAGAAAGGCTTAGGAATATGCCTTCTAAAAAAACCTTTTTGAGCTCCTTAATTTTCTGATACACGTCACGAGCCCCGAAATGCAGCCTCTTGTCATCGGGAAGGGAGGATCACAAACAAGGCCTCCACAGAGAACACCCAAAAGAAAATGATTGTAATGCGACTTTGGCTATTCATAAAATGATAGATACTTCTTTCTCCTATCCAGGCGGTTCAGGCGATGGCGGACCACAGTCTCCTGAAAAGTCAGAAAAAAGCTTCATATCCAAAGTCTAAAGTGGAAACTGCAAGAAAATTATTTGCTTTCCCTCCATGAACTTTCCGAATTCTACTTGGGCTTTTAAAGCATTCTTGCAATTTATTTGGCTCTCTGGGTCTTGACCTTTGGGACGTTTCCTTTTTCATTGTTTTTAAGAAAAGCTCTGCCTGCAATCCCTTATATTACCTGGACCATATTTTCCACGCTGACTTTTTATTTTTATATTTAGTCTTTAAATCAAGAACGACTAATGGAAATGTGGTGAGCCGAAGAGTTAGCAGGCAAGTTTACCTTGTCCTTCTCTCCTTTTCTTAACAAGGAGGTCCCTTTTTACACGCTCGAGACCTTTAGATTTTGCTCGCCATTTCCTTTCCTCCCCCTCGCTCGGTTTTGGAGGGTGAGGGCGTGAAGTGGCTACATCTAAAATTGACAGGAAAACGAAGATCTCTTTTGACGGCTTTTTACATGGGGGGAGGTAGAAGCAGATTTTTCTTAATACTAAAAAATGAGTAGACGCCGTACTTGGTGTTTAAAGAAAGTTAAATAAGTCAGATTGGAGGAAGGCACACGGAGAATGAGGGAAACGAGTAAGAACCTTCCGTGCACAAGGGGGTGGAACGCGGCCGCTCCTGTCCGGGATCCCGCCTAAGTCCCTTCGGCCGCAGACCCCGGGGACGGCCCTCCGCACCCGCGGGTACAGGGACTCAGCTACAGGGCAAGAAACACCTCCTCGAAACTTAAGCGCGAGCTCCTTCACCAACTGCCACGGACCCGAGCCCCGATCTCCCCTCGCGTCCCTGCGTTCCGCGTGCGGCTCGGCATCCCGACCTCGGAGCGCGCCGCGCCAGGCCGAGCCCCTCGGGGCGGGGAGGCGCCGGGCAGCTCCGGTCCCCGGCACCGGCGCGCAGCCCCGCCCGCCCGCCCCGCCGCTCCCCCGCCGGGAACCGCGGGAGGAAAGTACAAAGGCGGGCGACCGGACCGCGGGGGCGGGCGAGAGGCGGGGTGAGGTCGGGGGGTCGGGCGCGCCAGACGCGAGGAGCCCGCCCCCGCCACCCCGGTCCGCGGGCCCGGCCGCCGCAACAAAAGACCTCCGACCCGGCCGCTCCCTTCCGACCGCGGGCGGCGAGCGAAGGAGCCGCGCCCCCAGGACTGCATTACCTGGTCGCGAAGGGTTAAGCGGTCCTGTCAGCCCCAAGTTCATGGTTTGGTTCCGCAGCAGGGCTCGCGATGGGGGACCGTCAGAGACCAGGGGAAAAACCAGCCAAACACGCGAAGAGCAAACGCCCAACTCCGACCGGGCTTAGTCCGCCAGAGTCTCTCCTTTCCTCGCCAAAGTCTGAACGCGGATGCACGCGAACCAGATCCAACCACGGCAGCGGCTGCGGGCGCCAGCAGCCCGGGCCGCGCACACATCCAGCTCGGCCGAGGCCAGGCGCGCGGCGGGATCGCGCCCTCCGAGGGCGCCCGGCCGCGCTCGCCCGCTGCCTCCGGGCCGCTCCCGCGGCGTGCAGGGCCGGCCCGGTACGGCGGGGCCTCGAGGAGCGTCCCGGGCGGGCGGCGGGCGACAGGCGGGCGAGGCGGGGAGGAGAGGGCCGAGCCGTGCGGAGCTAAGAGCGAGGCGGCGGCGGCAGCGACAGGACAAAGGAGACCATGTGCGGAGGGAGGGAGGAGGGAGAGGGAGGAGGAGGAGGGCGCACCGCGGCGGCGGCGGCTTCTCCCCGGCGGCCGCCGCGGGCTCCCCGCCCGCCGGTCCCGCCTCTCCAGCAGCGCCGCACGGCCCGACCGCTCCTGGGCCCGCCGCCGCCGCCGCGGCGCTGTAGGGAGACGCTCTGCGAGTCTTGCTCTCCCGCCTATCTCGCCGGCGCGCGGGAGGCGCTGCAGCGATCGGGGCGCCGGGCGGGATGCGCGGGGCTGGCGGCGCCTTCCGGCCGGAGCAGGCAGAGAGCTGCCGGGGCCGGCTCGGCTCCAGCCAGCGCTCCGCTCGCGGGCGCCTGCTTCTCCCGCCGGCTCACGGCTCAAGTGAACTCCATCGGCGGCCGCCGCCGTGGGCTCCTAGGCTGCACGGTGGCGGGAGGGGAGGTGGTGGCACCGGGGCCCCTCGTTCCGGACTTCGCTCCCGACCGCGCCAAGCACGCCTCCTGCAGCCGCTCGCAGCTCTCGGCGCGGGACTTCCTCAGCGCGCCGAGCCCGAGCCACCGGTGCCACCGCCCCTCCTCCGGCCCGCCCCGCGCGCCCCGCCCCTCGCTGCCCCTCCTCTCGGCCCAGGCGTCGGGTCGGCCCCTCGGGGGCGCAGTTCCCGGGCGCGACATCGACAGCTGTCGCCCCCGCCCCACCGCGCCTTGGGCCCCAGGTCCCCACGGCTGTCTTCCCCGCGGGCGGGCGCGGCGGGAACTGCAACGCTCGGCGTCCTCTCCGCAGTTGCCGCTTCCAGGATTGCGCCGCGGCAGGGAAAGGCCACTAGGCCCGCATCCTGGGGCGGAACCGCGGTTAGGCCAGTCTCAACTATTAAGAGCAGGCTCTCTGGGCGGTTGCGAGGGCTCAGTGAGAAAGTGATGTATGCAGACCGTCTCGCACACAGTAGGCACTCAATCCACTATAATAGGTACACTGCTGGAAA